CCGAGCTCCTAGGATCGAGCCCCTCATCAGGCTCCCTGCTCCACAGGAAGCCTGCTTCTCCCTCTCCCACTCCCCCTGCTTATGTTCTGTCTCTCGCTGCGTCTCTCTCAAATAAATAAATAAAATCTAAAAAAAGAAAAAAACCACAGAACAGTCCAATTCCATCTTAAAGTGTACTTAGTTAATTTCATAGACATGAAAATAGTTCTCCGTTCCTTTCACTGTCAAGGGGACTGGAGAAGGCCAGAGCAGTACCAGGGGAAACCACAGTGGGACTCCAGCTGCTATCTCCCTGACCCTGAAGAACTCCACACTGTCTGGCAGACAGAAAGGAAGAGGGAGAGCAAGAGAGTGCATGGCCTGGAAAGAGGCCCAAAGTGAGCCTGCTTGTCTCAAGGTAAAAGGGCCCAGCAAAGACAAGGAAGCATCTGGTGGTGCATCCACCCTTGAGATCCCCTGAGGAGTTAAGTGACCACAGAAATGAGTCAGCCCAGGAGGCAGGATCCACACTGTCTGAGAGTATTCCTTTCAAAGGCCAGCTCCCAGCTCCATGGACCCTCGAATGCCCCTAGTTGAGGAAAATCTCCCTATCGGGCCCTGCTTCACACTGGGACACAGAAAATTCTGACAGAGCAGCCAGCAGTTAGAGCACTCTGTGGGGAGAAGAGGGGGCTAGGGCAGCTGGAGAAGTCGAGGCAGGGGGGAGGCATCTAGACAGCAGTGCCGCAGCAGGCCCAGGCCAAAAGAGGCCCCTTGAAGCCTGAGAGGGAAGAAGGCAAAGGGAGGGAGCACGGGAAGTCAGGGTAGGAACCCAAGGGCATGGCCTCCCTGTGCACAGAATGCCCCCTCCAAATCGAGTGAGAAGCTAATCCGGGGACAGAGCAGGGAGAGAAGCTCCGGGGTCTGGGGACCTGGCTGGAAACTTCATAGAGGCCAATGAAGAATGACCTCCTCCCCGAGCCTGTGCCGTTCAGCTCTCAGAGCTCACTCCTCTTCACCTGTCATGCCTCCCCAACACACGGGCACAAGCTGGCCTGGTCTCAGAAACAGAGAGGAAAACAGTAGGAGCCTAGGTGCATGTGGCAGAAGCCTGTGGAGAAATAAATTGACAGGAGGAGCAAGAGGCCTCCGTGACGACGCTGGCTCTAAGAGGCGTCGGGCTTGCGGCTGAGTCTGTTTCTAACCCATCCTGAGCCGGCTGCCAGACTCATTTCCCTGTTCCGTTTGTCTGTCCGCCCAGCGTAGCCCCCACCACATGCCCGCTCTCCGCCGTGCCCTGTCATCTAAGGTGTGGCCCGACCCCAGGGGCTCTCTGCCTCCTGAGGGCTACAGCCAGACGGCCCCCCATAACGTGGCCATCAAGGCCGCTCACAGTCAAGCCCAGCCCACCTCTCCTGCCTGGCCAAGGCCCTGCCCCCTCACTATACTCACTATACCGACCTCCTTACTCTCCGCAGACCGCTCAGGCCCCACACTCACCCCTCCTCTGTGCGTGGGCTGAGTACCACAGACCCGGCAAACCCTCGGACAGCAAGTGTGACCCAGAAGTTCAAAGTTGCACAGATCTGGGCTAGCATCTTGGCCCTGCCACTTACTGGCAGTGCCTCTGCCCTCTGGGCCTCACAGCCCCATCTGAGACTCGACCAACAATACGCCCAGGACCGTGGGCCAGCTCAGTGCCCAGCATGCGGTCCACAGTCGGGAAGGTGGGCTCTCCTCCCGTGTTCCTGCAGCACCTACACGCCTCACCACAGCACTTAACACTTGCCTGCTCTATTGTTTTTATTGCTTTATGTGCCTGTTTTCCCAGCCGGACCATCAAGTTCCTTCAGACACAAGCATTATTTGCTTTTCTGACTTCAGATCCATTCATTCATTGTAGGAAATGCAGAAAACCTATAACATTCCAAAAAAGAGAGTAAGCCACCTACAGTCCTCCTTAGATAACCACTGGAAACATTTTGGCTGACCCCCTTGCACCTCTTGTGCAAAGAGGTTTTCTTTTTTGAAAATTAAGATCATGTTGCATATGGATTTTTGTGTCTTGATTTCTTCACTCAACAATCCAAGGTGAGCATTTCTCCAATCAGACATTCCTCAAAAACATTTTTTTAACATCCACCTAACACTCCAGCATGTGGAGCACCATCACTGACTCAATTGCCAACCCGTGAAGGGAGGTCAGGTTCAGTCCCTAGACAGGGAGACCTGCACCAGCACGCGTGGAGCTACCAACTGTCCCGCCGTGTTGATCAAATGCATTTCCTCCCTTCTCCTAAGAAAGCCCATTTCCCATGGACAAGACTCGGGGTGAAAAACGGAACTGGCTGTGATGTATAAGCCAGCGTGCTGGGCTGGCTGGCAGAGGCGGGAGCCAGATTCCTGGGCCCTATCTCCCAGGGCCTGGCGTAGGCCGGATCAGCTGAGGGAACACCTGGCAGCCCCCACTGCCCTGGCTGTGACCCCTCCAAATCGAAGGTGCTTTCTGCCTATAGGCAAGGGAGTGTGAATAAAGTTCAAGGTGCAATGCTGGTCCAGCTCAGTCATCCCATCACAGGAAGAACAGCCCAGAGTAAGAGGATGTTGGCGTAGACAAGACCCAGGAGGGCATGACAGAAAGTCTTCAATTTTCTAAGGGGAGTAAGTGTGTTCTCTGTGGCCCAAAAGGTACACCTGGGGCCAAGGGACAGAAACCACAAGGAAACAGATATTGGCTCAGCCTGAGCAACGCAAAGAACAAGTGGCTACTACTTTGTAAGGTGGTGAATCCCCTCTCACTGGAGAGCATCAGGGCCAAGATTATCTGGAAGGGCATCAGGCACAGATGATGAGACCCTCACGATGGTGAAGCCCCACCCACCCTGACACAGAGCTGTGGGACCCGTCACAGGGAAATGCTACAGCAGCGCATTGTCTGTGAAACACTCTTCGTGTCCATATGTTCCTCCTACCTCTAGAGCCCGGCTCCCTGGGAGCTACTTGCGCATCTTGCAGAAGACTCTCCCGGGCATTTCAGAACCAAGAAAAACATCTGCAACCTACTGAAAACCCAACTACATGGACATATACCACAGCTAACATTATGGAAATTATACCATATGCACCGAGAGAATGTTTCTAAATAAAAATGCCCCCCTTCTTGTGTGTTTTTTCCTTTTTTCTGGTTGCTAAAACAATTAGCCTTACAGTCCATCTGGCAATTTACATGCAATTACCCAGGATGCTTTGCATGGCTACTCAGGCCACTCTAGGTATCAGAAGTAACAGGCTCAACTGAGGTGTAATCAGCATTCTTTCCTGTACAGACTCCGCCTGCCAGTGCCCCGCCGGAAACGAGAGAGGAGTGACGAGGAACAGCTCGTGCCCAGGGCAACAGGAGGAGCCTAAAAAGGTCCTGGAAAGACAGAGCTGCGGGCCTCCCTCGATGAGTGTCCTTCCCCGAAAGAAAGAGACACATTCTAATAGAGGCCCTGCATCCTGTGTGGGTATTTGGCTCAGGGCCAGATTTACCAAGATGCCCGCCTAGCTACTTTCTGGGCATGAGCACAGGGAGGGGCAGGGAAGCGGTTTTAAGAGTCTTGATGTTCAAAGGTTGGGAACCTTACCCTTTCCAAAATTAGCAGAAGGAGGGTTGAGAAGTCAAGAGCTCAGCCTCTAAAATACTGAAGCACAGGGAGGGGGACACTGTGAAGTCCACAGCCCCCACCCCTTGCCTGTCTGACAGCTGGTCTGATGTAGGGGGCGTGCTGGGAGAGGGAAGGTCCCTCAGCACTCAGCACCAGAGGCCAACTGCCCCAGCTCACTGGCTGAACCACCACCTCTATCCTGGGTTTGTCGGCCTTCCCCCAGGACCATGCGGAGTCAGGGATTAGGTTATAAGAACCATAAATATACCCAGGTTAACTTAAAAAAAAAATTACTATTTAAAAACCTAAGATTTTTAAAAGCTGAAAAATAACTGGCCCTAAGCTGGCTTTGGAAGGGTGGTTTGCTATAGATTTTACTGTCTGCCCTGGAGATGGAGATGGCCCAGGTGAGGCAAGCCTGTCCTAGTGAGGGTTCCTCCCAGCAACCACAGGCCAGCACCCTGGGCAAGCTGTTATTCAGAAAGCACCAAATGCAAGCCTATCAGTGGGAAACCCACAGGGACCCACACTGGAGCTAGGAGCTCTGGGCTGACTGACCCCAACCCCTTTACTTCACCATCTCCTGAAAGGCTTCCAGCAGAGGGAGACTCATGGGTACTCTGCCTGAACTACTTTCTGGACTGACAGAAGGAGCACTGGATCCTAAGTCCAGGGTCCCAGCCAGGCCCAGACTCCACAGGCAGCCTGAGGAAAAACACCTAGATTTTTCTTTTTCTTTGACATCTTGCGTTGTGTAAGAAGACAGTATAAAATGATACCTCAGAAAAGCAACCAATCCTTCCAAACGCCAATTCAGCCTCTCCTCTGGGCCATCCCTGAGGTTAGGATTCCCTGAGGCAGCACGGCCACATTCCCCACCCTGGATGCTTGGCCTGGGCTGGGCAGGGAAGAGGCCTTTCTGCTGGACAATAAAGGAAACGTCTGGTATCCAACAGAGATGGGACAGGGAGTCACCACAGGGAACCGGGCTGTCCCGTCCACCAAAACTCCCAGTGTCTGACCCAGAACAAGATGGCCTTGAGGCCTCACCGCAGAGCACATGGTCTGAAGCTTGAGAGGGGGACCAGCAAGGGGCAAAGGTCTGCGGTCGGGTACCCTACCTCTCTGGACACAGACTTGTAAAGAGCCCGTCCGACCGAACTGTTTCGGGGAGCAGAGTTGAAGGGAACAGAGTTTAAAAAGAACGCACATGACACTCGGCTGATTTCCCGGATGTCTAAGTCACTTCCTTCACGCTTCTCTGGGATACAGGTCTACGTACTGTTTCACACTCCAGCAGGGGCCACGGGAGATCAGAGAAGCCTGGTTCCGCAGGGCTGCACCCCACCCCTGAGGAGGCCTCCGGGCACTTACCAGGAAGCGGACATCGTCAAAGCCATTCAGAAGCAACTTGCTCTCATACTGCTGCAGCCCCACCGCCTCCAGCCACTCCCCTACGCTCTGCTCCAGCGTCCGCGAACCTGACGAGAGAGGAACCGGCAGACGCTTGAAAAGGGAAAAACCATTAAGGCGGTAGCAGCGGCACTCTGAGGAAGACAGATGGCACTGCCACATCATAGTCATTACCATAAAGCCGCCCGACTATGTACAAGAGACCAGAGGGCAGAGGACCCGCAGCTCCTCTTTCGGGTGCAGGCCAAGGGCAGGACGGCCCGGGCTGCACACACACACACACACCCCCCGCCCCCCTCAGTCCGAGCTGCTCCGGGGCTGCGGTGGCACATGCATGGTCGCTGCCCACAGGTCGGAGGGGAGTTCCTCGTCAGCGTTCACACTGAGGTATTTCAGGAAGTCTGTTCCCACGGGCACTAGAGGGGCTGGGGGGCTCCTCTCATCCATGCAACTTCTGGAGCCCCCGTGGGGCCGTGGGCGAGGGGCAAGTCCTGTGACCTTGCAGCACACACTGGTCAGGAGGGCGCACGCATCTTCATGCAGCTGAGGGACACAGGCACACAGCGAGGGCTCCGGGAGGGAAGCAGTGGCGGCTGTTCACGGGGACCCAGCACATGCAATGCAAGCAGCACAGAACCCAGCAGGGGGAGAAAAGAGACTTTTACTTGTTTTCCCCCAGCAGTCCCGGAATAAGCAAACCATGGCCACCGGCCCTTTGTGCTCAGAGGCTCAAGGCAGAGGGGCCGAGAGTGCGGCGCCTGGGCCGCAGCCCGGGGATCGGGCTCAGGTGTGGCTCGGCTGTGACAGCGACATCGCACTCCTTCGGGCTGCGCGGCCGGCGGGGCCAGGAGCCCAGTCCACAGCTAGACTCTGGCTGCTGGCGAGCGGGGCGTCTCCCGCGCCAGGGCGCTGTCCGAAGGGCTGCCTTCCCGGGCCGGGCTCTCTTGTCGGGGCTGGGCATTCATTTTCCTCTTCTGAGAGTGGCTGTTCCTGTGACTCGCCTGCCTGCTCAGGTGGAAAGCAGGCAGGCAGATCCAGTTCTTGGCTAAAGAAGACAAAACCCAGCCCGATGAAAGAAAGGGGAAAAGGAAGCGGTCCTCTGTCAGCTGAGCTGTGGCGGCTTAAGTCTATTCACGTTCGGTGCTGTTCTCTCTTTGGCTGAGTGATAAAGACAGCAACTGTCTTCCCAGGGTCTCCGGACCTTGACGTTCTCCTCGGAGGGCAAGTGGGGAAGGGACGACATGTATCTGTTCTGCTCCTCGCGCCGGACAGGGGCGTGTGGTGGGGTGGGGAGGAACAGAGTTCAGCCCTCCCTGCAGACCTGAGCTGAGCACCTAACCCCCACCTACTTCTCTGGTTCTCCTGGGCAAGAACAGATAAAAGAAGGAAAAAAAAAAAGAGGAAGGGAGGAAAAAGAAGAACTAACTACGAACACATCACCTCCAGAGAACTCTTGACACGGTGAAAGTCATTCTGTTGTTTTCCTGGCACTTTCTGCTCTTCAAGGCAGGTCAAGGCCAACTGGCTTGGTGGCCTAGGAGCCCCGGGTGACCCACCGTCCTGGGCTCTCCCTCCTCTGTCCTCTGCAGAAGAGCTGGTGGTCAGGGACCCGGCGGCCTCCCGATGCGCGCTGCGGCAGCGCTCCAAGACGCTGGGTCCCCTGCCCTTGAGTGGGGCTGACTGCTCCAGGGAACCTAGGCGGCGGGCTCTTGTGTGCCCATGAAGTCAAGTGTCCCCGGCTGCTGATTCATTCCTGCTTGTAATCCCTCAGCCGGGGAGCTGTGGTCCTGCCTGCTCCCGGTGGATGTGTGCGCTCACAGAACCGCAGCAGAGTGCTTTGTCTGGAGGCTCCTGGGCTCCACGCTGCCTGCTGCCGGCCCCACAGCCCTCGCTCGCTCTCATAATGTCTGGCCCTCCCCTTCTCCCCTCCCCACCCTCCTCCCTTCCACGCTCAGGAAAATACATCAGGGATCGGACATCGGAGCAGAAGCTGCTGCCGCCGCCGCCGCTGCCGCCGCCACTGAGGGAGAAGGACACAGCAGCACAAGCACCAGAGCAAAATGACAGGTTCCCCGGCATCTCATGTCAGCCGGCACACATGCATATGAAAGGCGGAGATGGGGACTCTACCTGCAGCTCAAGGGGCTGGAAATAGCTTATCGGGGACAGAGAAGGCACATTCCTACAGTTTGGGCCAATAGTTTCTAGGACAGCCAGGGAAGGGGACAGAGGAGTGACACGGCCCTGAGGGCACAGCCCACAGGTAAAGTGACCCCCGCCCCAACTCACCACGTGAGAAAGATTGTTCCTCCCTGCCAAGAGGACAAGCCATTGGGGCATCACAAAAACAAGCGACGACAATAAAGACAGTACACCTAATATTCCTCAGGTGAGCGAGCATACTCAACACCTTGGGAAGAGACTTCTCTCTGGGCCCGTCGGAACCCAGGGGAGAAGCACCAGGCCCAGAGCAAGCTCCTCACGATCTAGAGGAGGAGGGCATGGGAGGGGAGGCACCAAGGAAAAGGCCCAAACCCCAAGTACAGCTGTGAAGACAGAAAATGTAACATGTAGAGACAAAGACCCAGGGCCCACATGCCACCCTCTAAACGTGCTGGGGGATGCCTATAGCTCAACACACTGTAGATGGCCCTGGTGAAGAAGGGGGCTCTGTGTGCAGGGAGATCAGGCCCCAGAGGAGCCTGCAGTGAACAGCTACTCAACAGCTAAAACAGTTGGCTTTAGCAAACGAAAGCAAGTGATCTCTTCCGCTGCTTGACAGACAGGCCTTTGTTGAAGGCAGCCAGAGGCCTGGGCTAGTGGGAAGGCTCCCCCTCCCGGGACCCCTGACAGTGGAATGAGCTGTGAAACCTGTCTGTTGGGGATTCGGGTAACTAGCTCCAGTGCTGGAAGCTCAGGTTCCCAAGGCCCAAGACAAGAGTAAGACTCCAGTTCCACGTAGGGTCTTGCCCTTCAGGACACGATCCTCTGCGAAACCAGTCACACTGAGCGATCCTGTGCTTAGCTAATGGCTGCCTGCCGGGCGGCCTGCTCCTCCTCCTCCCAGGCTGGCAATGCTAGAGCCCAAGCCTCTTCTCCTAGAGCCAGAAACCTAAGGACAATCTGGACCCTGCTATTGACTATCCAAAATAAGCGAGAATTCTGCTTTCGTCTGAGCTGAAAGCTGGTGCTCCTGGGGAAAGCCCCCTCCCGACCCATCGGGTGGAAGACAGAGTTCAGGGGCAGAGCTGAGTCTACTCCCGCCATGCTTCCTGGACTGGCAGCAGTCCAGACACAGGGGGCTGGGCCTCTCTGTGGCACTGGTGGACGCACCCTCTGTTCGGGTGGCCGTTCTCATGTGCCCACCCTGGACTCTCCTAAGCTGCTGTATGGAGGATGGCTGAACTGAGCGGTGCTAACACAGGGCTGTATGCTGGGATCCAGTCTGTGGGGGTAAGAACTGGTGGGTGGGACCCACAGGGCAAGGAAAGTGCTCAGTGTCACCACCCTGGAGGAGAAGGGCTCTTCCAGAAATGTGGTTTCCAGAGGTGCTGCCACATCTCCTAATTTACCAAAGTTGAGAGGTAATGGCCTGCTCTGACCCAAACTCTCAAGCACATGCGCTCCTTGGACATGGAGGGGTACAGGGAAGCAGAAAGCAGCTTCAACTGAACTGACTATCAATCCCATTCCTGGCTGTCCCCAAAGCACAGCTTTGAAAACTAGCAATAGTGTTTGTCTCGGTATTGAGCATCTATTCCCATCAAACACTTGACTCTTGATAAAGCCCTACACAACAGAGTGTGAGATTGTTTATCTGAGTGTGGAGCCAGCACATGGAAACAGAGCCACAAACTCTTAGCCAGAAGAGCCACCTCTACAGATCCCAGCATGATCCAAGACTGAAAGAGATGGACCAAATTGGGCTGGGCCCTCTCTGCTAGGAGCCAGGGAAACAAGGTTGCTGGAGGGAGGAGGCTCCAGGACCCCAGCTGGAAAAGTGGTGGAGGGAGACAAGCCAGGGGAGCAGATGTTCTTCTTCTCCAGGTTTTTCAATATGACTAAGTAATTATTTCATGGACAAAAGACGAGCAGAGCTACCATTTACCTCTTTTGCTCAAGTTTTTGTATCTAGTACTCATTCCCAACAAACCTATAAGGTAGGTACTATTATCAAATGTTGTAGCTCGGTAACTGCGGGCTCAGAGAGATTAAGTGACTCGCTCAAGACCTGTAAGTATCCAGAAGCAGAATTTGAACCCAGGGCTGAGGCTTCAGAGCCCATACTCCTTCCATAAGCACCTTGGCCTCAGCAGCTCCTTTCTCCCTGAGCTGCAACTAGAGGTGTCACTTGGGCTAGGAGGCCAATCCAGGCTGGAGCCTCCTGAATGAGCAGGGAATCCCATCCCTTCAGTTAGAGAGGCATTTCTCAACGACAGGGAGAGGCCAAGCCTCACGGAGCTGCTCTCAGCCTGGGAGTTCTGGTGGCAGGGGGTCTACAGACGCTTGGGGGAAGGGGTATGAGACTTGCTCCGGCAAACAGACACCTTTAGAAATGTCACCTCGGCTGAGAAAAGTAACACAACCACAATTCTATTATCAAGGAAAACAGCTCAGATATGGCCTCTCTAGGTGCCCACTTCAAACAAAGGAAATTGAGGCCGACCTCACCCTTGGGCTTTGAAAAGAAAAGCATGCCCAGAGTGGCGGTGATCTGGAGTAAAAATGATGAGTGACTAGGTAAATGGAAAAATGCAGAAAAAGACATAAGGATGGGCAGCAAAGCCACCCCCTCCAGGTGACGCAGGCTAACAGTCTGACCCCACTGATCTGAGCCAATGCTCTGCCGCTGGCATGGAGCAGGCAAACGCAAGCTACTTTCTCATGAAGGGCTAGTGCCAGAGCTGTCTGGGAAGCTGGACAGACCAACGCTGAGGTGCACTCCAATTTATGCCAATCGAGAAAGCCTATGTTTACAGACATAATTACAGATAAGTGACAACCATTAACTTTAAAAAAAGACAACAAAACCTTCCTAATAGGTGGGCCTAAAATGCAACTCCCCTCCAATCTGTCAAAACTGTCATAACTCTAAAATAACAGCTCAGTGGGCCATACAGATATGTGAGGTTCTGAACTGCAGGAGCATGGTGCGGGCTGAGGCTGACCTCTCTCACCCACCACATGTCTGTCTTCTGGGTCAGAGGAAAAAAAACCTGAGCCAGAAAGGAGCCAAAGGTCTGTGTTCCACAGAGAAAATGGCTGCTTGGTACGATACCTGAGATCTTCTGCCGTTCCTGAGAAAAGTCAATCCCTTCGCCAATAGAGCTCATGATTTTCTCAATCTGGAACAGAAGAAAGAGGAACAAAAAGGAGAGGTTGTCAGGCTCAGGTTAAACATTGCCAGCTCACCATCAGCACCCACAGCGGGGTGCGAGGGTGGGGGAGGTCCTCCAGATAATTCCAAGGTCCAGCACCAACCTGCAACGGATCAGAACTCTTTGCCGCTCAGATCAAGAAAGGCCTGTCACCACAGCCCAATGGGGGCAAAAGACAGGCTCCGAGGAGAGGGAGTGGGAAACAACCTGTGCTCAGCTGCTGGAAATGCCGGCAAATCTTCCTTCCGAGGCATTTATGTATCGCTCCCTGCAGCAGTTCCCCCAGCCCAGCAGAAACGGGGCACAGGGGGCAACAGCAGGCCAGGCCTGGCACATTTCACTGCTCACACCAGAATTTAAATTCCATGAGAGCAGAGACTTGGCCAACTTGGTTCCATGCGACACCCCAAGTGCCTAGAGCAGTGCCTGGCAAATGCTAGCATTCAACAGATAATTAATATTGCCTGGCTGCCAGCTCTGAGGGCTGAGGACAATTTTGAGAGCTGAGACAAGCAGAGAACCTGAACATGGGAGCCTCGTAGAAGTCAAAGTGAGGCAGGCATATAACTCTGATCAGAGAATCTTTTGCTCCCTGAAGGTACAGAAACATATCCCTCCTCCGGATCGTAGCAGAGCGAGCTGGTCTCGAAGCATCCAATGTCTCCAGCACTGCCCTCTGTATGGACCACCTGTTCCAGCCATCTGGCTTTGGTCACCCTGAGCCAGAGCCAAGCCCCCCACTCCCAGGAAACCTGGCCAGGGGCAGGGGCAGGGCAGTAAGAAGGAGGCCACCTTCTCTTCCTCTCCTCCTCCTCTTTTGGGTTGCAGCGATAATGAGCTCATTCATGGCTCTTTTTCCAAAAAAAAAGGACAGAGAACCTTTTGTACCAGAGCTTGGATGTGTTTTCCTCTAAGTGCAAGTGAGGAGCCTGGGTCTGACAATCAAAAAACAAACAAACAAACAAACACAAAAAACCACCACCACCAACTTTCCATCCCGTCTCCAGCTGGCAGACAAAGATGGTGCATTTGACACCCAGCAGAAGAACACATCCTTCCCTTTGCAGCCAGGAGCTGTGGCTATTTTCCTCTGGCCACAGAAATGCCTGCCGGCTCCAGCAGCCACCTGACTGCCTGTGAACATGCACTGGGAACTCCATCCCTGAGCTCAGCAAAAGCCAAGAGAAACACAACACAGCTGACCTGTGGCGTAAGCGGAGGTGTGCCTCTGCTTACTGGTCCCACGGCGGAGAGGCCAGCATAGAAGTGGGCAACGCTACAGCAGGTCTGTCCTGCCCCTTGAAGAAAATGCCTTTCTCCTTCCCTTCCTAGCGCATCACTTTCTTTGGCCTCCACACTCCCCCCGCCCGCCCCCCACCTTGCCCCATTCCAAGAGTTGCCTCCTTCAACAGGCAGCCTGGTATAGTGCCCACCCAAGCGGACAGGCAAGCACTTCCATCCTTTCCCAGCCTCAGTGTTAAATCTACAAAAATGGGAGTGCGTCTTGCCTCCTATAAAGAGCTGTTGTGTGGATTGAAAGTAGCCAGTCCATCAAGCATCCGGCCAAAGACCTGGCTCACAGCAGATGCCCAGTCAAAGGCTCGTTTGCTTTCCACTTCCCCTCTGTTTGCCTCAGAGCTCCAACTAGTAACACCCCGTTATTTTTAAAGTTAAAAAAAATATTCTTACTTGTGTTTTGTGACAAGTCCTACATCTCCATGATTCAAGGTTCAAAAAGTACAAAGGTTATTCAGAGGAAAATCTCCGCCTCCCAGCTGTCTAGCTCTCCTGTCTGCAGGCAACCAGTATAACCAGTTTCTCAAGTATGCTTCTAGATGTGTTGCAGTCCCATGTGAGCAAACATCTGAAGATATCCTACCCCCATACTGACAGAGGCAGTCTATATATGCTGTTCTGCATCTTGCTTTCTCTATTTAATAATACATCTTGGAGTTCTTTCCACAGTTCATAAGAACATTCTTTTTTTTTTTTTAAATGGATGAGGTGTGTCATCCAGTGTGTGGCTATTTATTTAACCAATCCCCTGGTGGGCACGAGTGTAGTTTCCAATCTTTTCTCATTCTCAAAAGCGCCATGACGAACACTGTTCTACAGACATGTTTGTACACGTGTACAAGTGTATCTGTAGGATAAATCCTAGTTCTCTCTTGACAGTTCTTCCAGGCACAAAATCTTGAGTTTGCAGCAGGGACCCCACAGGTCATATAATCCCAACTCCAACCCCATGTCCAATTTTGCTAAAGGTCTTTCAGAGATGGGGCACTTGCTAACTCTCCCCGTCAGTTCGCCCTATTTGCAGAAAGCACCAATTTATAACATCTGTCTTTTTATACATTCGAACCTTTTTTTTATCCAACTTCAACCCATTGGTCTGGTTATTCCCCTAGAGCACCTCCTCTTCCTCAGGAAAGGCTTAGGGATATTTGCAGACAGCTCTTCCCTTCCAGGCCAAGCTGCTCCTCCACCCCCGGCTGCACTGAATGACACATCAGTGCAAAGGTCCCAAAGCCTGGATTACTCGGATCACAGAAGCCTCCCAGCTGGGCAAAGAGCGGACACTCCCTACATATCTGCTGATGTGCCTTCCTTGTCCTATTCTATATTTATAGGAGAAAAATAGGGTGCTCAGGGGCACCTGGGTGGCTCAGTCAGTTGGGTGTCCAACTCTTAATTTTGGCTCAGGTCATGATCTCAAGGTCCTGAGATGGAGCCCCGCGGCTGGCTCCGTGCTCAGCAGGGAGTCTGCTTGAGATTCTCTCTCTCCCTCTGCCCCTCCCCCTGCTCATGCTTTCTCTCAAATAAATAAATAAATAAATCTTAAAAAAAAGTAAGGTGCTCAAAGTGAGAAAACTTTTCCCTACATGGAGGGGAGGATGGGTCCTTATCCCTGGAATGGTTCCACCTGGCTATGGATCCGTCTTTCAGGCCAAAGAGAGTGTATGTGGGAGAATCACCACTGTAAGAACCATGAGGGTTGGAAGAAAGCATGTTTTACTTGTCATTTTACCCCCTGGGCCTGGCTCTTGTTAAACAGGCAACTCACTGAATGAATGAAAGGAAGTGGCGGTGGGGGGGGGGGCGGTTTCCATTTACTCAGAGCCAGTAGTGGAAAAGCTGTTTTCCCAAGGCCATGCAGAGTATCAAGGGGGGATAAGAGCTGAAATGGGGGATGACCCCAAGCCCCAAGGTAGCTTTTCATATAAAGTCAAGTCACCTACAGTACATGTTTCATTGTCCTCATAATCACCCGACACCCAAAGACCCAGTGGACCTAACCAATCAACATCTCCTGGCCCAATTCATGAGATTTTACCAAAGGGCCTTTTGAAATCAGAGTGAACAGAGTAGAACACCCTGCTGCTTCTTTGCTCTGTTCCTTCCTTCCTGCCTGCCCCAGGAGTCACCCTCATACCAACTACAAAGGGCCAGGAACAGCCCACGTTTCCACAGCCCACCCTCTGGCAGGGTGCACAAGGACACTCACAACTGTTTCATGGAAACTATACACTATGCTTTGCTATCCTGTGAACTGTAGTAGCTAAGTCAAGCTGAGAAGATTCTAGTTTATAGAGGAACCAGGAGTACCCAGCAGTCGATGGACAGCTTACAACCCTGCACTGCTTCCTGCCTTGGTGGCGACACAGGGCTAGGAGGAACGTGGCAGTGAGGAGGTCCTATGTGGGCAGAGACTGGCAGGTGCCTGGCCTGACACCATAAGCACTGGACTGCCTGGGGCTGTGATCCTGCCCAGCCCCTCAGCCTGGGCCTGGGAGACACGGAGGAGCTGGAGCGCATCTTCTGTCTCTGCCACACCCTCCATGGCCCAGAACCAGCAGAGACAGAATATGGTCATTTCAGTCTAGACAAAGAGGAGCTGTCAGAGAAAAGAGATACCATTCTGATCTATATACTTTGTGAAGTTTCACCATTTAGGCTTGAGTTAAAAAAACCAATCTGATTAGGCTGTTTTCCCAGAAATGTTCTGCATCTCAGGGGAGAAAGAGGCAGATGGAACGTCATGGAAGGGCACAGTTCAGTGTTCTTTTCTGTTGTGTAGGGTCAGTGACATCTTGGGGGAGAGACAGACAATGCCCATACTTTAATCCTGCACTTCACGTAAACGCTATAGGGAACTTCTGTTTCTGTTTGGTAAAGTAAGGCCTGAAATTTAGCACCATAATGGATGCATGTATTTTAAAAATGCTTGGAAATACTCCATTTTCAGAATGCATTCAGGGTTATCCTATTTAGACTCTCCCCTCCCAGCCCCACCATGGATGTATAAAACATATTCCCCGCGTGGCTGAGAACAAGAACAAATACAAACACTCGAGACACTGCTGCTGAGGTCTGCTGACAGGTACTTGTTCAGAACACAGGCTCCTGGGTGCTCAAAGGCTGGCAGTGGGAGGTGATATTCTGTATAGAGATAAAGAGGCCTCCATTCTCTATCACTATATCCTGGCTTCCAGGAACAAGTTAGATTACACTAGTCTTTTCACTGGCTATCAGGAGCTAGGGGAGGGAGAAGACTGCTGTTGCGGGCAGAAACACTTCTTTAGGCACAGGGAGTCCACAGGAGAACCATGAGCCTTGGTGCAACTTGGCACCAAGGCCTATGTGAAACCTCCCTTCCGGAAGTTAGAAGGAATGGCTATGTTCAGGGGCTCCCATTTGTAGCCAAATATTGGGAGAGCAGTAATCAGTCTGGTCAACATGCCCGTGAGGGAGGCCTAATGGGGAGAAGGAAGGAAAAGGGATCACCTCCTCCTACCTTCTTTTGGAGCAAAGGGGAACATGAAGGGAGAGGTTTTTGCAATTCACCAGCCACTAAATTTGGCTCTTGATGTCAGGCATTCCCTTCCAATCCTCCTTCTGCTGCTTGGGGAGCTCTCAGCTCCCTAGGGGCTCCCTCCCACCAGTTGGAAAATACATACCAGTCCTCC